GAGGAGGAGGAGGAGGAGGAGGCGGAGGGAGCGGCTAACGGACGTCCTAGTTCCCCGGGAAGATTGGAGCCGGCAGCAACTGCGGCGGCATCGGCGGCGGCGGCGGCGGCGGTGGCGACGGAGGCGGAGGCGGAGGCGGCGGTCGGGGATGGGAGCCGAGGTGTAGCCGCCACGGGCGGTGCTGGCGGCGGCGGCGGCGGCGGCGTATCAAAACTGAGGTTCAAGATCCACCGGCTCCAGACACCATCTCAGACGTTGGCGCAACCGCGGTGACGCCGCCGCCACCGCCGCCACCGCTGCCTTCCCCTACGGGGGGGGCCCGGCCCTGAAAGGGGTTTACTGGCTATTGAGGGTCATCACTGTCGGAGCTCTATAACGATAAATTACCTGGTGACAACCCCCGGGCGGGGGGGAGGGGGAGGGGGAAGAGGAAGGGGAAGGGGAGGGGGAAGGGGAGGGGGAAGGGGGAGGAGACGGGCTTACTCGCGCATCTGTCCATTAACGGTTATTGGTTGTTAGTTGTCAGTCCTTTTCTGTTTTCCGTTGCTGCAATCCAGGCTGCTGTCAGAATGAAGAATCTGGGAACGTATTTACGACGGGACGACTTTCTAACCATCGAAAGGGAATTGCCGTACGTGGCTTTGTTGCCGTACGCACGGTATTATTGGCAGGGAATCGCGCACGGATGCGGGGGAGGGTGGGTTGCGCTAAGACCTGTTATTGGATGAATAGTGTGCTGGTGCTGACAGCATGATGGGTTTGCTGCTGTTGAGCTGATTGTCCTCTGATGGAGGCGATGACCTGAGAGGGGGAGAGTGAGTGGGGGAGAGTGAGTGAGTGTGTGTGTCGCACTGGCAGTGGGCGATGGTTGTAATGACGAACTTTGCGACGGGTGATGGCTTTCGGTGAAGCGCGGCTGCGGTCCGTCGATTCATATGGCTCTGCAAGTGCGGGACTGATCGCGGACGGGACACTCGTGCGCCCGACTCGCACTCGCACTCGCACTCGCACTCGCACTCGCACTCGCCTGTACCTCCGCGCAATCCGTTTTATTTTAGCTGGTCCCCACCCCGAGAGGTGGATAGACAGCTGGGGGACAGACAGACGGATGGACAGACGGACAGACAGAGGGAGGGACAGACAGACAGACAGACAGACAAGACAGCTATATCCGATTCCCTCTCTGCCGCGAGCTCCACACGCTCTCATCTACGTTATCTCCCTTATCGCCGTACGGCCGGCGAATGGCCGCCAAATCTTCATCCCGTACGGCAAGCATGCGACAGACCTGTGGTGCGTGTTTTAGGCTCGCCTGAAAAACTTATTTACACAAAATACGATGGATGGGCGCCTGGAGCCGGGTGGTCGTGTTTTTGTACTTTTCGGAGACGTTTCCATCTATTGTAGCGTTACTGGCAGATGGCCGTACTGGCAAGTGGCCGTACAGGGTTGTGGTCGTACTGCCAGGTGTGGACATTTCACGCGGCTGTCCGTTGCTGTGGACGTTTTGTCGCTGTTCAGCGAGGTCAGCGAGCCCTATCCATGCGCTTGTCTTGCGGACTCTGACGAGTTGCCTAATTAGGCCCTCAGCTTATTAGGCAACCCCAACCGCGTCTCCTCCGGGGCCGCCACTGGCCAGGCCCCGCTTCGCCCGCTGTCTATAGATCGACACACAGCAGACGTACATATAGCCTGGCAATGTTTGCACCGCTCCAAAGAATCCGCCACCATCCTCCAGGCGGGTGGTGGCAGACAAGGGCCTCTCGAGAAAGAGAACGGTCTTCGAACCGCGCACAATCAACCGTATCATCATCTTGCCAACAACAAAATTAACAAGCCTCGTGGTGGATATTCTTGTAACACACGACAAAAAATTATGTGCATCAACACCAAGCAAACGCAAATTGAGCAGCTCACAGCAAGTAAAAGCATTATCCGGCCCATGGAACGTGGCCACGCTCGGCAAGATATCCGTCTAGGTGCAGTTCTTACGTGGCAAAGCAATCCTTGACGTGGATAGAAATACACATGCTACACTCACGCTGCTAAGCTCGCTTAGCATCCCCGAGAATTAAAGGCCTGCTCAGTGGGTTTTATGTTAACGGCGTCGAAACACGGCTGGGTCTATGAAGCTAGGAAACCGGTGCAATCACACAAACATGCAGAAGCCAATATTTGTCCGATACCAAATATAGCGATCGAGCTCTCGCCAGGTCTAGGTCGCAGTGCGGGGGGGCATACCCACCCTAAGCAACCCACCCGAAATCCAAATACGAGCTTTCTAACTGCAACAACTTAAAAACATACGCTATTTGAGCTGGGATTACCGCGGCTGCTGGCACCAGACTTGCGTTCCAATGGATCACCCGACAGTTCATCGAACGAGGTACGATACACGTAGCCCATCCCATCCCCCCTTCGCAGACAAGAGGCAACGCGAAACACCACCGGGGGGAGGCAACGGGGTCAGATCCGAACTGGGGGTCTGTCACGGGAAGATGCGGATAGCGGGGCCGGTCGCAGCTGGGAGATGGCTACGACGGGGTCATATCCTCTGGAAAGATGCGGACAGTCGGTGACCGAGGGATTTAACCAAGGATGTGGAAAATTGACCCTTACTGCGTCCCTCTGCACTCATCCAGACATAATCCAGACGGCCCCACATTGGCGGGTGGGCGTCGGGAGGGATGGATGAAATGACGGTGGTTAGAAAACGAGCGCGCGCATGCGCCGGAACAGATCAGATTGGCAGTTGCTGTATGGCATCCCAGTACGTGCCCGCAGCCTGGGCCTGTTGTATCGTTATCTACCAAATTTCATCAACGCAACAGGTTGACATCTCTCATAGTCCTCGTGTTATGATCCTGGGTAGTTAGATAGTCAATTTTCGTTTTCTGTTAGGACAGCGAACCATGAAGGGACCTTCGGATTTCCTTTTGTTCGCTGTAAAACTTACTTGACAAGCTTGCCATAAGCGTGAGAAGTTTCATATGCATTCCATAGCGACCTGCAAATTTTGAGCTGCATATCGTCGTCGCTGGCCAGAAAATTCTTAAGGTCGACACGACGCACTGTCCCTTAACTTCTATTCGGAAATCCAGAAACTAAACAAAAGTAAGGATCGATTTGCAGTGGGTGCGATGGCCTCTCTGCGTTTGACTCTTCCTGTATGTCCTCCCCGTACTGCTATCGCCTCCGACACGTCCAATAAAACTCCCCAGCGGTCTGAGGCGCTCCGGTGCAATTCGAACTCCTAATCTCAAAAGCCCACAATGTCAGGAAAGCGCAACAACAAAGCCACACCCGCAAACCCAATTCCTAAACTGCAGCCTCGCGAACACGTGGTCCGTACCAGCAACCTCACCCACTACCGAGCCCAACCTCATGTTCCAAATATAAATCACGTCCCCGTTCACATCGCCATCGTCGTCATCATCATCATCATCATCGCGTCATCGCCGTATTAATCACCATCAGCATCATCACCATCAGCATCATCATCATGCTGTTTCCTCCGTGCCGCAAAGCCCTGTCAGGGCACCCCATGGGTTGCCTCTTAGACCGGAGCTTTGCTGCTCGCACCCCCACCACCCGCAGCAGCAGCAGCAGCAGCAGCAGCAGCTGAAGGAGCCGCATCACCGGCAGTGGCGGCGGCGGCGGCTGCAGCTTTTGCCTGCGCCATCTTCCGTGCCTCCTCCACCGCCGCCTCCGCCGCCTCCTCCAGTCCCCGCTTGCGCAGAGCCCCCGCCAGCAGCTCCACCTGGGCAGCAGGTACATACAGACATGCGTACATACATATATACATACATGTATACATACATACACACAAGCGGTCCTAGGCCACCTCCCGACCTTTCCCCGCCCAGCCCCTCACCCCTGGCTAGGGAAGTGGGGAGGGGGGAAGGGTGGGAAGGGGGAGGTGACGTTTCTGACCCGGCGCAGTGGCGGACGAGGGCAGATGGGAGGTGAGTCGCGTGTGTCGGGATGGGGAGGGGGAAAGACTCCATTGTGGAGGGGCCCCGCTGCCGCACCCACCCCCAAAACTCCCACCATGGTTTGAAAGGCCTGTCGAGAGAGACCGGCACGGGTTTGGGGTTTTACTGCCGAGCCCCGAGAGCCGCAGCGAGGGGGGGGTCCGCAACGCCTCTACTCGCAGCCATCTGTACGGTACCACAGTCCCATTCAGCAACGACACGGCGTGTGTTTCGCAATGCGTATTCATGACACGTCCGGGGGGGTGAAGGGGGAAAGGGGTCGCAGGGAAGGCCAAGAAAGCGGCGGCGGTGGGGAAGGAGGAGGAGGAGGAGGAGAAGGCCACGACCCGGGGGCCCACCGCGCCCTAAAACAACCACAACAAGGCCCTTCCGAGACCAAGTAACATCTGTACACGGCTGCTGTATTGCGTGTATTGCCGTACCTCACGGTCGGAAATGGCGTACGGCGAGTATCGCGGTCCCGGAAACGTCCTGTCCTCCACCTCCCGCCGGTACTGCTGCAGAGCGGCCCCGATGGCGTCCCCCACCCTCGCGTACTGCTTGCAGAACTTGGGCGTCACCTTGGCGTGGTGGGGGTGCGTCATCATACCCAGCAGGTCATGATACACAAGCACCTGACGGCGGGACAGAGCAGGGCAGGACGTGGGAAACATATACGGCAAGGTCAGGACGGGAAGCAGCAACCCCCGACTGAACTGAACTGGCGTCAAAGTCCGCAAGGGGGCCAGTGGGGCAGTGGGAACCCAGGGGTCGCCCAGCAGCACCGTCTCCCGCAACGACCTGCACAGCACTTCTGAAAAGTCCCCAAGCTTTCCCCCCATCCCCTCCCCCCGTCAGTGACCCACAATAACCCCCAAACACCAACACCAACACCAACACCAACACCAACACCGTTCCATGTGGGTCCGTCCAGCCTGCCGTACCTGTCCGCTGCATTCTCCTCCCGCTCCGATGCCGATGGTGGGTACGGACACTGTACGGGTGATGGCGGCCGCTATGGGCCCGGGTATGCACTCCAGCACGAGGGCGAAGCAGCCAGCTCGCTGCAGTGCCTGTGCCTGGTCCATAACCCGCAGAGCCTCCTCCGCCACCTGCGCCTGGGGCCGGAAGCCGCCTGGGGGTGGGGGTGGGGGAAGACGCCCATTACGTGTGCGTATATGTGTGTGATAAAAGGGGACCCGGATGCGGGGAGGTTTGAGCCGGGGGGGGGGGAGAATGGGGCATTATATGAAGAGGGGATGGGCGGGACGGGGGGGCGAGTTGGGCGCCTTAGGAGTCCGGTTGATACAAGCGGCCACGTGGGTCATGTAACCGCCCTCAGCTGATGCCATTTCCTGGGACCCCCACCTCCCCCCCCCACCACACACACACACACGAGTACCTCCAGGGAAGGCCACCGAGTCGTCCGCCTCCCCGCCTGTTGTAAATCCAAAACTCCCTTCCCCCCTCCCCTCGCCCCCTCCCCCCTTCCCACCAATGACGCTAACGGATTGCGGGGTAAGACCCACGTGGCCCATCACCGCCACCCCGGTCTCCACAATGGCCCGGGCGGCCTCCACGCGGGCGGGGCTACCACCTGGGTGGTTGGGGGTGGTTGGGGTGGTTGGGGGTGTGAATCGGCTGTTGGAAAAAGGGGTTCGGAAATACCCCCCCTTACTGAGGTCATGGTTGTAATAGGCGGCTTCTAGTGGTGACAATACCGTACATCATAACGTACTGTACCGCACCGTACTGTAGCTGGCTCTTGAGGTACCCTGGAAAGGAGTTGTCAAACACTTCCAACCACTAACTAACCCAACCACCAACCCACTCAACCATTAACTCCTCAAGGACGCCACCACCCGGGGTGAAATGCAGCGAAAGGATTATTGTTGGATGCCACCAGGTGCTGAGGGAAACCCCCAACCACCACAACACCATCCCGCAACCATCCACCCGTACACCCGTACGCCCGTACACCGCACCTTCAAGCTTAACCGCGTCCATGCCCCCCTCCTTGAGCATCCGTACCGCCGAACGTACGGCATCCCGTGCGTCCGTCTCGTAGCATCCGAAAGGCAGGTCACCCACCTACACACACGCACACACACGCCAGTAATACCGTTTGTCTGTCTGTCTGTCTGTCTGTCTATTTGTTTAGTACATTGGACATGTTTTGTGTAACGTAAAAAAAGACTGCATGGTAGGAAAACCAAACATGCAAACGAAGAAAATAAAGATCCCGCACGTACAAACATACATACCGATGCACACAGAGTTACGCACATGCACACAAATCTACAGCCGCAGAAAAATGTACGGATGAAACCCAAGGGCCCCCCCTCTATCCACCCCCTGGCCCCCCCCCCCCCCCCCCTCCCCCCCCCCACCAGAAAGGCCCTCCTCGCCCCCCGAGCAACCGCCTGACAGTGGGAGAGCATCTCGTCCAACCGAATCGGTAATGTCGTATCGTGACCGTGCACCACCATAGCCACTGAGTCGCCCACAAGGCAGATGTCAATGCCGGCGGCCTCGACCTGCCGGATTTCGGGTTGGGGAGTTGGGGAGTTGGGAGTTGGGCATGCGAAGGTAAAACTACACGTCGGCAATATTGCAGGTTTTCGGGGGCAAGGTAGGATCAAGGCCACGGCTAACGGAGCTAGTCGGGGTTTTAGGGTTTTAGGGTTTTTAGCACATGCAAGGACGACCTAGCTCTGAAGGACAGAAGGTGGGTGAGTAGGGTGGGGGGAATGTTACGAGGCGCTCTAGATTGAATCCCAACAACACATCTTGAGCGGGCGGGTCGGTGGAGGGCCGCCGGTTGCGGTTTTATAGGATTAAAGTCAATGTACGGGATGTCAATGAGATTTGTCAATAGATTGTCAGCAGATAAAATAAAGAGGTGGGGGTGTTCGCGGGGGGAGGGGGGAGGGGGGAAGGACGAACCAGGAGCTAGGGAAGGTGATGCCAAGGAAAGACTGACGCGCCAGAAGTAAAGGGGGGAGGGGTCAATGGAGGCGAACACAACAGGAGCGGGTTTGGTAATGTTGCCATTACGCAATTGCAAATCATCGTGAACTGACGATGATGATGTACGACATCCGCGGTCGCGTCTGGATCGGCATTTTGAGGGCTATGCGGCGGCAGGGGGCCTCTGTTTGTGCGGGGCGGGTACTTGGGCGTTGGAGGCAATGTTCCCCCTTTTCTGCCTTACCCCGTTCCTGCCTTACATGTACGGCTGAGGGATAATCGTACGCCGTGACCATCGTTAGCGGCTCGCCTAGCTCGTACTTCTTTCTGATGGTCCTTAGAGTGACGCGTGAGGGGTTGCGGGGCGACGGACCCGAATACACAGCGGCCTCAGGCTGCACGGAGAGCTGCCGCCGCGGCGGCGCCGCTAGCGCTGCAGCCGCTGTTGAGGCAGTTGCCAGCGGCGCCGGCGCCGGCGGCGCCAGTGCAGGCGGCAGGGCCGCGAAGCCCCGAAGGCTCTGCGTGAAGCTCCAGGAACGCACCGCGGACCCCGCGCGGCTGGCGGCGGCGGCGGCGGCCGAGCCGCCTATCGATCGGGCAGCGGCGGCGGCGCCCAAGGAATGCGACAGCGGTACGGCAGATGGGTCGGTGCATTGAGGCTTGGGCCGCAAGAGTACGAGTGGGCTTAGCACCGTGTTGCCTTTGCGACTACAAGGCGGCGGCGCCGTCAGCGTTGGCGGCGACAGAGGAAAAAAACGTGTGCTGGGGAGGGCGGGACTGCAGGACACTGCCCGCTGCTGCTGCTGCGGCGGCTGTGGCGGCGATTGTGGCGGCTCCGCCGCACTGTAGCCGAAATCCGCTGATGGCGCCGTTGCGCGGAGGTATCCTCCGCCAAAGTGGATCTGGATCTGGATCTGGGTGGTGATGCGCCGTGATCCTGGGGGAGAGTTTATTAAGTTGCTGGTTAACATTTGTTGTAGCATATACAACATAACCTATAGTTGTTGTGATATGCTACATACATAACAAAACATACATACATACATACATATACGTACATCATAGATATACACGGCTAGAGGTTGTTCCGGCAGTCCAGGGGAGCCCTAGGCCCGTAAGTGGAGGTCAGGACCAGGGGGGGAGGGGGGGAAACGACGGCCAACATCGGAATGTGTTGGTGAGTTGCGGTGCGTGTGGGGGGAAATGTGTGTGTATGTGTATGTATGTGTGTGAGAGAGAGAAAAAGAAAAATGGAGAGAGAGATATGAGACGGAGTTATGAGGAAAATGTATAAGAGCTAGACGTGTGATGGGGGAAGTTGAGATCCCGGTGAAGGGCGCGGAATGGACGAGAGGGCAAAGGAAGGGGCGAGGGAATGTAGCGGACGAGCAGCCAGGAGACGAGCCTGATGAGTTGAAAGCGGGGAGCTTCTATATAATGTTAAATGGGCGGCAAACGGACAATTAAACGAAGGGCCTCTGGATAACATCGGAGGCGAAGGAAGGCAACCCCCATGGGTCGCGCGTGATTTCAGCAAAGAAAAAAGACCAGTTGAGGTACACATTTTCACTCTAAATATGTTGTTGTGCTCACCCTTTAGAGCCGCGGCTTGAATAGCGTCTCTTGCGCACATTTCAAGGAGTCCAGAGGACATCGGCCCAGCCCAACTTTCCCTCCGAGATTTTAGCTTGTTAAGTGAAATTGTAGGTGCAATTTTATTGGAGTTTACGTCACAATTTGTTTTCACCTGGCGTTACGTTCAGATATTGACGTTCAAGCGCTGGAATTGTCATAAATCGCAAGGCGAAAGTGTTGAGAGGTTGCCGTGTACTCAGGAGCAAGCAGTTAGCAATTAGAAAAATAAACTTTCACCTAATTCACATTCCATGCAAAAAGGCCTTTGAGCAATTGCGTGAAACAACGAACATGATAGAAGGCGCCGTAAAGCGATTACGCGCGATCCAAGAAAGCTGATGCGCTTGCTAAAATAATTTTCTGGAAAGTTTGGAAAAAAGCTTATCAGAAAGCGAAAGATGAAAAGCGGCCCGCGGGTCTTCTTCTTGCGATTAACCACCCATGGCCATTCATGCTGCTGGCTGTTAGTCCACTGTAACTGCAAATTGGCTATTGGCCCTTTTACGTCACTGTCATCACGCGGCTCACCCTTTGTGCCTACTTGCTATCCACGGCGACAATCGCCTAAACCAGCGAGAACCAGGGGGAAAGGTACTGGTCTCGAGTTAAAGGGACATCGTTGCCTGTTGAATTATGTGGACTCCAGTCCACTGCCTGGTCGTGGCCATGGTGGTTTTGAGGACTACGGAACGGTTGATGCCGTGACACAGAGGCCCGAGGTGCTTCCCTTCCCGAGTGAAGAATCAGGAGGTTATTTTAGCGAGGAGCATCTTGATCTCGGACGGTATGAGAAGTTGGGGGAGATGATGCTGGAGCCTTCGGATGACCCCCTAGTGCAGCTGGTGGGCGCCTCGGGGCCTACGCGGGCAGCATACTCCATTGTAAACGGGCCTGACATTCAACCTGTACCCCCATCCAACTGGCGCCTCTCGGAATCGCAACTAGGAACTGCTAGAACACTGCTGAGGCAGGCCTGGGGCCGTTTGCAACAGCTGGATTCCTTAGCCGCAGTGGACATTACACCGGATCAGGAGTTTGAGCAACAGCTGAAGGCCATTTGCCCCGACCCAGACCAGTTTCGAGCGGGAAAACTGCAGGCGCATGCTGAGCTGTGGGACACCTACTTCACGTTGGCGGGAGAGGGCTCCATACGGTCACCAGCTAAGTCAGTCCTTAGAATGGTGCGTGATGGGGTCTCCCTGGACTTCGTGGGGGTTTATGCTCCCAGACAGGAGGCCTCGCCTCACAGGGCTCAGAAGATGCGTGTAGTCCGGAAGATGCTACAAGAGGCCTGCCCAGGAAAGGTTGTGGAGGACTTCTTCGAAGGGGTCCAGCCACATGCCGTGCAGTTCCCGAATCACGCCAGCACGCAACAATACCAAGACTTCGTTTCACTGGAGGTGCAACGTGCCATAGATCAAGGGGTTCTTCGAGTCTGGGACTTGCCTGATCCACTAACCGTCATAAATGGCTTGCGAGTCGTGGTACAGCCCGAGAAGCTGCGCTTGTGTATGAATCCCATGTACATTAACCTCTTCATCGGATACCGTCCTCTTAAGTATGAGCGCCTGGCGGACTTGATGTTTTATGTGCAAACCCAGGACTACTTGTACACAACAGATGATAAATCGGGTTATTGGCAGGTTGCCATGCACCCAGACTCTTATCACTTCCTGGTGGTGGAGTGGTTTGGGTGTCTCCTGTACTGGGCTCACATGCCCTTCGTTATCTCCCCGGCTTGCTTTCTTTACTCGAATATGAAGCAGGAGGTATTCCGGCCAATGCAGGACCATGGGGCCCACCTCATGTTCCTTATTGATGATCATGCGGCAGCGGTGAACGGTAAAGATCGAGCTAAGTTCCTCTGCAGAACGGTGGTTATGATATTGGTAGCCCTAGGTTTTACTTTAAGTTTTAAGAAATGCCGCCTCATCCCAGTGCAACACCTGCGCTTCCTTGGCCTGATAGTGGATGCCTCCAGGCGGACCTTTGAGGTTCCCGATGATAAGGTGGAGGCGCTAGAGGCCTTTGTAGTGGAACTCAGAGCCGCTACACCACTAACCATGCGCCAGGTGGCCCGCTTGGCGGGTAAGATTATGGCCATGAGTTTGGCGGTGTCCCTGGCCCCCTTGCACAGTAGGATGGTCGGAAGAGCTTTGCAGAGCAAGTGCTCCTGGGAGGAGGCGATAGGTCAACCCCAGCATGTCCTGGAGGCAGCGGGAACTTTTCTTGAGATTCTATATACTAGGAATGGGAGGGCATGGTGGCGAAATGAAGCAGCTGTTCAGTTACAGATTGCGGGTGATGCCTCGGAGAGGGCATATGCAGCACTTTTACCCAACGGCGAGCTCGGAGAGGCAGTCATGCGGGTTCCCTTCTCCCAGGACGAGATCCAGCTTCTGGCGGAGGGCCGCCTCAGCAGCACAGTGTGGGAGCTACGGGCAGCCATGTTGGCGTTGGAATGGCTGCAGGAGCAGGTACCAGAACTGATCCGTGGACGGTGAGTGCAGTACCAGATGGATAGTCAGCCTGCTCACTTCTGTATTCTGGGACAGAAGGGTACAGACCAATGCCTGGAGGAAGTGGTGCGGCTATATAGGGTTAGTGCTCGGTCTAACACCGAATTTGAGGTGGTGTGGTATCCCCGAACAGCAGCAGCTCAGCAGCAGGCAGATCGTATCAGCAAGGAGGAGGATGTCGCCCAGTGGAGCTTGAATCCGGAGGTTTATCAACAGCTTCTACGCTGCCCCTCATTTCAGGGGTGCAACCCGGACATTGACTGCTTTGCGGATGCCACCAACACCAAGGTTCCTGGCCGCTTCTTCACAGCATGATGGAATCCGGGATGCCTTGGCATCGATGCCTTCACACAATCCTGGGTCTCCACAAGAGAGGACCTGCCCTCACTTCTCTACATGAATCCCCCCTTCTCCCAAGCTGGCCGGATGCTGGCCAAAGTTCTCACAGACAAGCCGGACTGTATCATTATATTGCCTGTTTGGCCTAGGTGGTGGGTAGCCCGCTTACATCGCAGCATGTAAAGTGTGTTCCACTGTTTCCCATCCCGAGCTGCCCGCCTCGCCACCCCAGCCACCCACGCTCAGAGTGCATCTCCTTCTCTTTTCTATATCCCACCAATTCCTTCACCCCTTCTCCTCCTTCCCCCCCCAAACCACCCGGCCTAAAGCCACGAGAAAGCAAAACGGGTGGTCCCGCACATGTATTGGATGAGTTGAGGGAAAGGGAAGTTTCAAAATTTTTTTTCTACCAGATGACAATATATGCACACACCTGGTAGCGGGGTGCATGGGGCTGCCTTCGTACCGTCAGGGCCCCTGGCAGGAACAGGTCTTTCCGATGCGGTAGACGCCATACCTCACACACCGGCAAGCGACATAAGAGGGCTACCCACCACCTAGGCCAAACAGGCAATATAATGATACAGTCCGGCTTGTCTGTGAGAATTTTGGCCAGCACCCGGCCAGCTTGGGAGAAGGGGGGATTCATGTAGAGAAGTGAGGGCGGGTCCTCTCTTGTGGAGACCCAGGATTGTGTGAAGGCATCGACACCAAGGCATGCCGGATTCCACTGTGCTGCGAAGAAGCGGCCAGGAACCTTGGTGTTGGTGGCATCCGCAAAGCAGTCAATGTCCGGGTTGCACCCCTGCAATGAGGGGCGGTGTAGAAGCTGTTGATAAACCTCCAGATTCAAGCTCCACTGGGCGACGTCCTCCTCCTTGCTGATACGATCTGCCTGCTGCTGAGCTGCTGCTGTTCAGGGATACCACACCGTCTCAAATTCGGTGTTAGACCGAGCACTAACCCTATATAGCCGCGCCACTTCCTCCAGGCATTGGCCTGCACCTTTCTGTCCCAGAATACAGAAGTGAGCAGGCTGACTATCCATCTGGTACTGCACTCACCGTCCACGGATCAGTTCTGGTGCCTGCTCCTGCAGCCATTCCAACACCAACGTGGCTGCCCGTAGCTCCCACACCGTGCTGCTGAGGCGGCCCTCCGCCAGAAGCTGAATCTCGTCCTGGGAGACGGGAACCCGCATGACTGCCTCTCCTCCGAGCTCGCAATTTGGTTAAAAGCGCTGCATATGCCCTCTCCGAGGCATCACCCGCAATCTGTAACTGAACAGCTGCTTCATTTCGCCACCATGCCCTCCCATTCCTAGTATGTAGAATCTCAAGAAAAGTTCCCGCTGCCTCCAGGACATGCTGGGGTTGACCTATCGCCTCCTCCCAGGAGCACTTGCCCTGCAAAGCTCTTCCGACCATCCTACTGTGCAAGGGGGCCAGGGACACCGCCAAACTCATGGCCATAATCTTACCCGCCAAGCGGGCCACCGGGCGCATGGTTAGTGGCGTAGCGGCTCTGAGTTCCGCTACAAAGGCCTCTAGCACCTCCACCTTATCATCGGGAACCTCAAAGGTCCGCCTGGAGGCATCCACTATTAGGCCAAGGAAGCGCAGGCGTTGCACTGGGATGAGGCGGCATTTCTTAAAACTTAAAGTAAAACCTAGGGCTACCAATATCATAACCACCGTTCTGCAGAGGAACTTAGCTCGATCTTTACCGTTCACCGCTGCCGCATGATCATCAATAAGGAACGTGAGGCGGGCCCCATGGTCCCGTGTTGGCCGGAATACCTCCTGCTTCATATTCGAGTAAAGAAAGCAAGCCGGGGAGATACCGAAGGGCATGTGCGCCCAGTACAGGAGACGCCCAAACCACTCCACCGCCAGGAAGCGATAAGAGTCTGGGTGCATGGCAACCTGCCAATAACCCGATTTATCATCTGTTGTGTACAAGTAGTCCTGGGTTTGCACATAAAACATCAAGTCCGCCAGGCGCTCATACTTAAGAGGACGGTATCGGATGAAGAGGTTAATGTACATGGGATTCATACACAAGCGCAGCTTCTCGGGCTGTACCACGACTCGCAAGCCATTTATGACGGTTAGTGGATCAGGCAAGTCCCAGACTCGAA